CTAAATTGAAAATGAGCCGAATTACAATGGAACTGCACAGCCAAATTGCAATGAAAATTTATAACCCTCAGTCCTGATGAGAGATAATCTTCAACAGTGTTGAGACTACTTGTCACATACAGACAAGTCACCTAAGGACATTTTGAAAGAACAGCAAACTAAGCAAAATGAAGGAGCATCACAATTCTGATAATCCAGAGAACTAGAAAGACTGTATAATTAGCACTACAGAGAAGATGACATGCAAATCTCATCCAATGACCGAAAAACAGAATTAAGTAGTAGAAAGAACATGGTGTTTGTAGTCAGACCACCAGATTTAAATCCTGCTTCAGTAGTTTATTAACTCTGACCAAAGCGAATAATGAAAGTAAGCTTCAAAAAGTATTAGTTAACTCAGCTAAAATAAATGAGCAATATTCACCTCCCAGGTCTGTTACAAACATTATTTGGTAAACATTCAAAAATAATAAAAGTAATAATAATAATACAAGATGTTTGTGACATATCAGACTGTTCTAAGTATTTAATATAAATTAGCATAGAATATCTCTCTAACAACTCTAAGAAAGGAAATATATAATTGTGCTATTTCTATTTGACAAATGAGAAATATGAGGTACAGAAAGAATAAGTAATCACTTTAATTCATATAGCTGGTAAGTAGCTGAGCTGCGTTTTCAATCCTAATAGTATATCCCTGGTCTTTGCCCCAAATTACTATAGTATTAATAAGATCATGAACTTATTTCCTCTTCCCCAACTTTAATTTCAATTCATATTATTAAAATACTGAAAGTATTTACTTGTAATGAAAGAGAAAATGATCAGTTACCAAGTTATAGTAACAAGAACTATATTGACAGAATCCACTTAAGCCTATCAATCTTAATTCATGGATAAAAATGATAAGTGGTTATTCCACCAACTGGTTCTCCATGATGTTAAATATTTTGAACATATTCTCATCCACTGAATAATTATATGACTGAGACTTTATTCTGAAAATCCCCAAAGAAGAGGCTCTAATGGAAGGCTAATTTTTCAGTTTTGCCATTAATTGAAAGGCTCCTGAGTGCACATTCCAAATCACAATGAAACTAAAAAGTTCACACAAGTTTTAATGTCACCAACAAATTATTACTTAATGAAAAGCAACAACTCAAAAAATTCCACAGCAGTTAAAGACTTCTGGAATCCGTGGCGCCATACGAAGGGCTCTGCTTCCACAGTACCTTATTTCAAACCTCTGACAGCGAGAGAACACAGTGAGGCACAAGCCCCAGGGTTCACTTCCTCCAGCCTCCGCTCTAACGCTTTCCAAACAAAATAATCCCACGATAACATCACTCTCATTCTGACTTTCAATGTGTTAACTTTTTGAAGGAGACAGAACACCACTTGACAGAGACCTTTAAAACACAGAAAATGTTAATGAATGTCCTTTCCCAACACATGTCCTCCTCCAATTATTTTGAGAGAAAAGGCACTTCGCACTGGCAGGATAAGACTATGTGTTTTGAAATGCTTAGCAAATAGCAATGCTTCCTAAAATAGCAGAAGTTAGTCTGCTGCAATTCATCAGTCAATAGATTAACCCAGAGCTATCATTTTTATTTGATCTCTGACCCACGAGACATCTTTGTGTGCCACCATCTCCCCATCTTGCAGCTCTTTCAGCTCTACAGCTGAAACACACACTACCTCCTTAGTAACGTCAACACTCATTAAAACCGAAGCAGTCATGACTGCATTTATAGTTAATTCCTGATGGCAAAGAGGATGTTGCAACGTGTCACCCCTTACACTTCACCCTCCATTCCGTCTCCCTCCACAGCACTTCTGCAATCCAAGCCACAGGGTCAAGCAGCAAAGCAGGAGAAGGAAACACGTTACACAGAGCTTTTAACACACACTTCAGCATTACCACTCTACCATTAAAATTTCCAAGAATATACTAAATGGCGTGCATTACAGAAGTACAAACACATTTTTTACTATTTAATTAGAACTAAAATTAGGATCTGCAAATTACGACTGAAAAAGGTTTATATTTTTCAGACAACTAAAATTAGATCGTTTCAGTATGCAAAAGACACGATGCACCAAATAAGGAAGTAAATTTAACATTAAAAGCTTCCAGCACAGAGGGCATTGTTTACAACTATCTTGTTTTATATAATCTTTTCCCAGACTTTTAAGGGCTTCTTTAGAGTCCTGTACTGCATTGCCACAGTGATGCTCAGAACACCAAAATGATAGCCAGCCAGGAGCAGATTGTATTCAGTATTCCTGAGTAGTAAATCATGAGACAAAAAGCAGACACAAGCTGTTTCTAACTCAACACAAAATAAATAACA